CTTCTTCTTCTTCTTCTTCTTCTTCTTCTTCTTCTTCTTCTTCTTCTCCTATTCTCGACAGTGCTGGGGGTATTCTATCTCTGACTCATTCTCTCCAATCTTTCTCTGATTCATCACTTTGTCTGCCCCTCACTTAGACATCACTTTCAAACATGACTGCTTCCTTCTATAAACTAATCTTACCTTCACTGTTTGGGATCAAAGATGTGTACTAAGGACATGTCTATATTCCAGCCAGATCATGTAGACCTGGAAGGTCTTTAGATGTCATAGCCCTTACCAGAGCAGCCATGTTGCTGGATCAAAATTCCTCTACACTTTCTAAAATAGAAATGATGCCATTAGTACTTCTCCTGGTGAAAAACATAACTCTTTGCTGCAAAAAGTTTATAAGATAAGGAAAACCACAAGAAAGAAATCAAGTTACTCATGTGCCCAGTGCTGGAAAACCATACTAGTGATATTCTGTGTGACTTAGTATAGAGCAGTGGGGGGTGGGGGGAATCAGGCTACTTCTTTATAACCTCCTTTTTCACTCCCCAGTAAACAGTGGGCATTTTTCCTCCATGTGGATGCATCTAAGTCAACATCATTAATAACTTTATCATATACGAAACCATTTTGAGCGTGTTTGCTGCAGTGCTGGTGACTGAACGGCTGCTTCGTGCATGGCAGAAAGGCCAGCCATCTCACAGAGTTTCACCCTCTCCCTAACTACACTTTCTAAAACCAATTTTATGCTACCATAAACAAGGTCACGATGAGAGCTTTTCCTGTGTGTCTTTCTATATTTTTCTTGTGTTCATGTGTCCAGCTCCATTTGGGAGCTGGTGTTCTCAAGAAGGGTTTTGCTGCCTGTTGCAAATGGTCCAGTAGCAGTGTATTACTCTCCCAGCCTTCGGGTGTGATGGAAAGGCTCATTTGCTCCAGTCTCACGTATATTGATGTTTCCAGTTGAGAAATGGATAGCTTCAAAGACACCAGAAATCTGCATACAGTTAGAGATCCAGGGTGTCCCGCCTGCGGAACTAGTTATTGGGTGGGACTCGAGAGGGACCCTTACCTGAAAGGCAAAACGGGCGAGAAAGAAGAATGGGACCAAGCTAAATCTTGTCAAGGTCCGTTTATTGAAAACCAAGGTACAGAATATAAACAAGGAAAAAAGGGGGGAAGGGGAGGGGGAAGGTGAGCTGGAATTTGCATTGACTCCAGCTCAAAGGGGGGCTGTTAGTGGAGCTGTCTGAGGGCTACTATCTTGCAAATTCCCTCAGTAAGCCTTTTCTGCACTAATCTATTCCTGTGGTCTTGAGTCAATGTTTTTCTAAGGGAGGAATCCTTTGACTCCCAGCCCAGGGTCGGTCCCAGGGTCAGTCGGAGGGACTCTCTGTCTCTGACTCAGGGTCAGTCTGAGAGATTTCTCTGGCTCATGGCTCAGGGTCAGTCTGAGATATTTCTCTGGCTCATAGCTCAGGGTCAGTCTTTGGCACCAGGGTGTGATGCAGGGTGTGAGAACAGAGGCAAAGAAGCAAGCTGAATGAAGCCAAAGGGGCAGGCAAGAGCCAGATCACTAAAATATAGACACATTGGCTTCCCAAATCAAGCTAGCAGGGAGCCATTGAAGAGTTTTAAATATGGTGGCAATGATATCTTATTTGTATTTAAGGGAAATCAATAGGCACCAGATTGAAGAGCAGGACCCTGAAGCCAGCACCAGAGACCTTATTGTCCCTTCTGAGGCAGCAACTGGAAAGAAGGTCACAGGTGCCCACCAACCCAGTGGGGCTCCAATGATATGGTTTGTCTGAGGGGCTGTCATCACCAAAACTCCAGGAGAAAGCTGAATCCAGAAGGAGGCCGAGCTATTAAAAACACCAAAATAGGGCACCAGAAGGATTTCAGACCTAGGAAACATCCCAGAGCAGGTATCAGGTGTTGGGGTACAGAATCAGGGTTCAGACAGTATGGAAGAGGACCACAGAGAATAGTGGTGGTCCTGCAAGCAGGGAGATATCCCCAGTAAATTCCTAGAATAAATGTAGCACCTCACCGTTCATTGCCCCTTTATGCTTCTAAGGGCACACTGTGTAAGAAACGAACCGCATTTAAAGGGACAGGGAGCCACCTGGAAGCTGTGGCAACTTTCCAGGAGACCATTAGTGTAATTCCTAAATGAGGCAGCAGCAGAACATTGGATATTGGAGGCCCCTGGGGATCAAATGAAGCAGAGACTAGGAGATGCAGGAGATGTTGAGGGGGCTGCCCAGACCATGACTCAGGCAGCAGCATGGATGGTGTCAGTCATGGAAGAGGACACCTAGACCACGAAGCCTAGAAACTACCCTTTGCTCTTTAATGTCCTCTTTTACTAACATCTCTGAATACTCTTCTTATCCATATCTCTGGAAGCTGTCTCTTCCACCTGTACCCTGCTGCTGTTATAAAGAGAGAAAATCCCAATGGTTCGAGTTTACCAATAAAGACTCAGGAGCCAGATGCTGAGGTAAAAACCTGCTAGCTCAGAAAGACAGAGAAAGCACCCAGCTGACCTTCCTCCTTAGCCAACATCCCAGAAGAAAAAAGCACCTTCTCCTTCTCCACAGTGTCTTAAATACCTTTCAACTCAATGTCCCTCCTTTCTACTTCCTATGCATCCCTCTATCTGTGCTCCAGACTTCCTCTCACTCTCTATGGTTTTTTCAATGTTCACTTCCTGTCAATCTGGTTGCTTGCTCTGCCTCTTGACCTGGGGTTAACTTTATTTAATCCTGTGTACAGAAAGCTCTAGGATTAAAGGTGTGTGCTAGGGCTGAGCCACACCACAAGTTCTTGATTACAGGATAAAAAACTGAGCCATACCACAGTTAGATACAGGTTTTTTACAGTTCACAGTCTCAGAGATCAAATATCCTACAACACCCTGCCACCAGAAACTTTGTGATCCAGTTCTTTACCTTCCATCTGAGGTCCCATCCTTTTCCTTTCCGTGTGCCACCCAACTTCAAGAAAGACCTTTCTAAAACACAAATGAAAGTGATAACATTTTTCACCCATTCCATCCCCAGGACTTGACAACTTGCTATGGCTTTTCATCACCTAAAAACAAGGTTCGGAGTCTGTCATCCAAAGTGTGTGTTCTTCACAAGGCGCTTCCTCTCTAAGAGACGCCTCCTTAATGCATTTGGCCTTCACATTTGTCTCTGAGCTCCCTGGTAGCCAACAAGGAAATTGTTTACACAGTAACAAACATTTACATAGTTATGAATAGGAACTCAAGTCTTTTTTCCGACCGCTAGGGACTAAAGCAAGAATTCACAGCAACTGGTCTGGTCTTCTTTTTCAGAGATCACGGAAGACAGCTGCAATGGGACCTGCCACACCAGTGCCAAGTAGGTGTCCTCTGACCTCTAGGGACAATACAAACTCAGTAGTTCTCACCTCAAGCCCTACCCTGGGGAAAGTGTTTTTACATCCTTTAAGAGAATACATCTAAAGAAGAAACAGAGTATCTCTGAAGAAATCACCATCCGTTGGCCAGATGCAGCATGGTCAACAAGCAGCCAGTGACTTGCCTAGCACTCTGACAAGAATGCCAAGTGTCACCCCAGCCCATAACCACAAGGGCTCTTTCATGGAGGGGGCATCAGTTTCACTAAACCTTGCCCGCATCCGCAGCCCAACCTAATGCATCTTCCGATTCCTAGCTGCTATAGAGCACTTCCTTCTATAAATTAATGAAAAGCTTAGTAGCTGGAGTTAGACCTGAACCCACCTTCATCCTCCGTCACTCTCACTCATCATGTGACCTGGAGTCAGGTCTTTACTCCCTCCTAGCCTCAGTTTCTTCACTTAGAAATGGCAATAAGAATTACACTGACTCTCAGAGGCTGTTGCCTTACCTGTGGATGACATGAATAAGCCGAAAAGCTCAGGGAAGCCTATGGGTAGTGCTGTGAAGATGAGTGACTGCCCTTCCTGTGTATGCTGTGTGGTTTAGCTGGACTGGCTGTCATTGTCACTGGCTGTGATGGGATCATGCCAGGAACCAACAGTCCCCTCAACCCATAGACAGAGCCTCTGGGAGTTGCGCCAAGGTGGGGGCTGGATGCTGGGCTGAAAGGGGGATAAATCATATGTGGAACATTGTGTTTCTCTGAAAACGCCATTTGCCCTTTCCTACTGCAGCTGCCTTCTCGATCCAGATGGCAAAGCCTCGTGCAAATGTGCGGCAGGATTCCAAGGGAATGGAACCGTCTGCACAGGCAGGTGGTGAGGGGATCTGCTAAGGGCTTGCGTGGGCTGAGAGGTCTGACTGGGCCTCAGGAGCTGGTGCCAGCCGCTGCTGGTGACTTATGTGACCCCGAGCAGCTGTCGGTGCCTAGGGACAGGAAGCCAGCTCTTCATGGATGGGGCATGTTGGTTTAGGATAGGCAGGCAATTGCATCTGTTTTTACACACAACCACACTGCAGCTGAGCAGTGGTACACAAACCTGAGAGTGATTAGCTCTGCCTCCTGGCTTTAAAAGCTGTGGATTTGATCGGCCAAGGCTGTGGCTAACTCATCGGGCCTCAAGAATGGGCCATTAAATGGTCTGGTTCTTCCTCTTGCCAGATTTTAGACCTTTTGCATGGGTATTTAGCTATCCTGAGCCCCTCAGCTCATTTGTAAAGTAAGCATAAAGCACCTTCCTTACAGAGTGCTAGTAGGATGAAACGGCCTCTCTGAGTAAAATGGCAGAATAGGGCAGAGGGCAGAGGATAGGTCCTTGCCTCAACATTAGATGCTGAGTTTGATCTGAAAGACAGTCTGTGTTACTTCAGGAACATTGCTTGACGGTGCCTCTCACCATTTGCTCCTCTGCAAGTTGGGCATGGTAAGAGGATCATTTACATTGGGCAGTCATATATGATCCAGATCATGCTTCTGAAACGCTAAGAAATATGAGCTGTTATTCTTAGGGTACATAACACATATTTAGAACTAGAAAAGAAGAAACTTAGCGAGCTTTCAGTTGCCTGGCACCAGGACAAATGCTGCTCTCAGCCTTAATCACAGAAACTTCTCTTTGCAATAAACAAAGGTGATGGCAGAGGGGAGGTACACAGTCTGATAGTAAAAACAGTGATTTTTTTTTCTTGCCCTCTGTCTTAGCCAGGTTACTATTGTTGTGATGAAACACCATGGCCAAAGCAACTTGGGGGCAAAAGGGTTTGTTTGGCATCTGCTTCCATCCCAAACAGTTCATCGTTGAAAAAAAGTCAAGACAAGAATTCAAATGCAGGAACCTGGAGGCAGCAGCTGAAGCAGAGGCCATGGAGGGATAGCTCTTACTGGCTTGCTCATCATGGCTTGCTAAGACTGCTTTCCTGTAGAGCCCAGGACCCACAATGGGCCGGATCCTCCCCATCAATCTTTTACTAAGAATATGCTCTACAGGCTTGCCTACAGCCTAATCTTATGGAGATGTTTTCTCAGTCGAGGTTCCCGCCTCTCCGATGACTATAGCTTTTGCCAAGTTGACATAAAACCAGCCTGCGCACTGTCCATGTTGAGGAGTTGGTCACATTAATGCAGTGTATGCTGGAGCTGTGCTAAAGTCTTCTTTTTATCAATGGCTCGTTTTTGGTTTTGTTTTTGTTTTAATGTCTCCTCTTGTCTCTCCTCTTCTGCTTTGTGTCATCCCTTTCTTCCTTAGCCATCAATGCCTGTGAGATCAGCAACGGAGGATGCTCTGCCAAGGCTCACTGTAAAAGAACCACTCCAGGAAATCGGGTGTGTGTGTGCAAGGAGGGCTATACAGGCGACGGCATTGTGTGCCTCGGTAGGTGACCTCCCCTTGTCCATCTAGTGGAAATGGTGTCAGTGGGAGCCCTGTGAAACGTTCTGGTGAGCTCTCATTGTTAGGCCTGCTGCTGGGACCATAATAATACGTTATGCCTTGGCAGGAAAGCCTGAGGGTATGGGAATGAGTGATGTACCCACAGGGGTGTAAATTTGTGTGATGGAAAAAAAATCCCTTTGAATGGAAGAAGGAGAGACATTTTCCATTTAAAAATTCTGGAGGTGACTGAAGTTTTGGGCTTTAGTTGACTTACAATGTCTCCCATCTTTGCTGTAGAAAATTGAAAAAGACTCGGGGGAGGGAAGATGAGGAAACCGTACCCTGGCCTACCAGGAAGGCGGAAGAGGCATGAAGTCCTCTCCCTTCTGGGGCTCCTTGCATGCTAGGGTGAAGGTCAGCTTTCCCTTCTCTCATGGCAGGCGTGGGCTGTACTGGCCAGAACTTCTGATTCTATAGAGACAGGGAATCAAACTTTTTTACATTGCTCCATTTTATTATATACCAGTTTTCTTAAATATTTAATTCTTTAGGTACTTTTAACACAAATAGTGTTCTATGATACTCGGTGTTTATACTTACCGGTGTGACAGAATAATTCCTTGAGAGTACATGTAGCTCTGAAGCATTCTCTGCTGACAGCACACAGCTCTGCTCTACAGGCCCGCAGAGGAAGCTGGCTGAATCTTCACTCACAAAAGGATTGCAACTGTCGAGCTCATGAGAATCATGTGCCCGTGACCTGAATCTGCTCATTGACCGTCTACCACACACTTGTTCCCTTTGTATATTTTCACATTTTTCCTTAGTAATTTCAGACTAAGCTGTGTGAGTCAGGCTGTAACTGTCCCTAATAACTGAGTATGAATCTCCTAAGAATAAGGACAACTTGTTGTGTAACCATGCACAGTTCTTTACTTCAGTGAATTGATTCACCTTTCCTAATTATATTCACATTCCAATTCTAGCAATTGCCCCAGTATTTCTCTAGTACGGGGGTCTTTGGAGGACTGGACGTTGTGTTTAGTGTCTTAGCTCTTTGGTCTGTTTCTTTGATAGTGTGTCTCTTATTGGGGGGTTGAGAGGGTTTTTTTTGTTTTTTGTTTTTTGTTGTCTTTTTTATTTTATTTTTTTCTTTATTAATTACACTTTATTCACTTTGTATCCCGGCTGTGGTTCTCTCCCTCCTCCCGTCCCAACCCTCCCTTCCTCCATCCTCTGCATGCATGCCCCTCCCCAAGTCCACTGATAGGGGAGGACTTCTTTTCCTTCCTTCTGATCCTAGTCAATTAGGTCTCATCAGGAGTGGCTGCATTGTCCTCTTCTGTGGCCTGGTAATGCTGCTTCTCCCTCAGGGGAAGGTAATTAAAGAGCAGGCCAATCAGTTCATGTCAGAGACAGTCCCTGTTCCTATCACAATGGAACCCACTTGGATACTGAACTGCCATGGGCTACATCTGTGCAGAGGTCTTAGGTTATCTCCGTGCATAGTCCTTGGTTGGAGCATCAGTCTCAGGAAAGACCCCTGTGTTCAGATTTTTTGGTTCTGTTGCTCTCCTTGTGGAGTTCCTGTCCTCTCCAGATCTTACTGTTTCCCACTTATTTCATAAGATTTCCTGCACTCTGCCCAAAGGCTGCCCATAAGTCTCAGCATCTGCATTGATAGTCTGCAGGGCAGAGCTTTTCAGAGGTCCTCTGTGTCAGGCTCCTGACTTGTTCCCTCTTTTCTCCTCCTTCTGATGTCCAGCCTCTTTGCCTTTCTGGATAGGAATTGAGCATTTTAGCAAGAGTCCTCCCTCTTGATTAGTTTCTTTAGGTGTACAGATTTTAGTAGGTTTATCCTATATTATATGTCTATATGAGTGAGTATATACTGTGTGCATTTTTCTGCTTCTGGGATAGGTCGCTCAGGATGATCTTTTCCAGATCCCACCATTTACCTGCAAATTTCATGATTTCCTTGTTTTTTATTGCTGAGTAATATTCCATTGTGTAGATATACCACAATTTGTGCATCCATTCCTCCACTGAGGCGCATCTGGGCTGTTTCCAGATTCTGGCTGTTACAAATAAGGCTGCTACAAACATGGTTGAGCAAATGTCCCTATTGTGTACTTGAGAATCTTTTGGATATATGCCTAGGAGTGGTATAGCTGGATCTTGAGGAAGCGCTATTCCTAGTTGTCTGAGAAAGCGCCAGATTGCTTTCCAGAGTGGTTGTACAAGTTTACATTCCCACCAGCAGTGGAGGAGGGTTCCCCTTTCTCCACAACCTCTCCAGCATGTGTTGTCTCTTGAGTTTTTTATCTTAGCCATTCTAATGGGTGTAAGGTGAAATCTTAGGGTCGTTTTGATTTGCATTTCCCTGATGGCTAATGAGGTTGAGCATTTCTTTAAGTGTTTCTCTGCCATTCCATATTCCTCTGCAGAGAATTCTCTGTTTAGCTCTGTACCCCATTTTTTAATTGGATTACTTGATTTTTTGCTGTTTAACTTCTTTAGTTCTTTATATACACTGGATATTAGTCCTCTGTCAGATATAGGGTTGGTGAAGATCCTTTCCCAATCTGTAGGCTGTCGTTTTGTTCTGAGGACAGTGTCCTTTGCTTTACAGAAGCTTTTCAGTTTCATGAGGTCCCATTTATTGATTGTTGCGCTTAGAGCCTGTGCTGTTGGAGAGGTTTTTTTTAATTAATGGATTCCACTTGTATTTTCCAAACCGGAATGTGACAAAAATGATGTTGCATACTTAACAGAATGTCACAGGTCTCAGGGTTTCCACCCAGCCCTTATGTCTGATGTGACTTGTGACTACTAAGTCAGCATGCTGAATTATGCCCACATAGTCATTCCCCCTCTGCTGCTGTTAAACAATCAATGGAGAGATGCTTTAACATCCAGCAATTCGTTCCTCCTCAGAATGTCACAAACTGAGCATCAGTTTCTGAGTTCTCTCTAAACCAGCTTGTATTGTGACATTGCAAACGATCACATTCTCATTCCCAAGTCTCCTCATTTGTAGCACAAGTGGACTGGACTGGACGATAAGATTTTCATTCAAAACATTGACGTTCATTCCACAGAAGGGCAGATTTAAGCCCACAGATGGTGCCTCTGCTAGAATTAACCGAACAGTGGGGGGGGGGGGGGGAGGTTGAGAAAACGTTCTTTCCCACTGAGTTTCTTCTGCCTCTGAACTTCCAGAAAACTGAGTTCCATACAGCTGCTCTTGGTCAGTTATCCAGGGGGAACTCCCTCAAAATACCCTTCACACGAATAAAGCTTCACACTCATGACATATGCTGACTTTTGTTTTAAAGAAATAAACCCATGTTTGGAGAACCACGGCGGCTGTGACAGGAATGCGGAGTGCACGCAGACAGGGCCCAATCAGGTGAGTTGCCTCTGGCAGGTGTCCTGGGAGGAAACTCCTGTGTCTTCTTCAGACCCAGGCCTAAGGAAAAGAACTACAGAACCGATGTTGGTCCAGCTGCAGGCAGAAATTCTGTAGGACAGATAATGAAAGCACATCAGAAAATCTGGGGGAGAGAGATAAGTGAGGGAGGAGTAGCCTAGGAAAGGGGCTTTCTAAAATGGGGTGTACTTATCTGCAAACCACATGTGACTGTAGAGGCACCTAGGAGTTTCACCAAAAACATTCCCCTCTCAACTTTCTGATAGCCAGAATCCATCACATTTTTCCTTGGCTCGAGAGGGCACTGCGCCATGCCAGAGCTCACAGTTCATACTTCTGCATTAATATGGCCTCCACACAGAGTGGTGCAGCTACCCTGGGGCAAGTGAGTTTGGAGGAGTGGGAACAATAAGGGGACTCCAGCATGGGATGGTGAGCATGCAGCAAAAGGATAAAAACGGGGGAGCGAAGACCCACACACTGCCTCCCTCAGTCTCGGACACACAGAGAGTACACAAAATGGCCAGGCAGCAGTTCATACGTTGTGATACCTGGTAACAAGTCAGATATCCAAGAACTGACCCCCAGAGCTCACTGAGATACCTAGGAGACTGAAGGACAGCATCTCCCAATGGGCAGATCAAGCACGCACCTGAAGCACTCCAAATTTAAAAACCTTGGAAGAAATGTGTGTGCCTGTGTGAGTTTGTGTGTGTGCATGCACATGTGTGTTCATGTGTGTGTGTCCATACACATGTGTATATGCCTGTATTCAAGCATATACATGTGTGCATGTATGTGTGCATGTTTATGTGTGTGTGAGTGTGTACATTTAATCATCAGAAAATACAGGACTTTTATTCGCATATGTTAGTGTCTCAGTTTTTAAACACGTGTGATGAGGAGACTCCCATAAGGTTTCTGGCCTCTAGAACCTATACCAGTGTTCCTACAGACCTAGAAGACAGAGATGGGAACAGCTCTAAGAATACAGCTTCATCTGAGAGGAGATAGCTCGTAGGTCTCTTGGTAAAGGTTTGGACAAGGTTGGGACCGATGGTGAAAGAAGAAGAGAAATGGTGGAAACCTGCTCAGGTTGCCCTGAATAGCCCCACTGTGGATTCATATTCTAACAGAGCTGTCGGGCCCTGTACCCAACTCCCTGAAGCTCCCAGCTGCTTTCCTTGTCCATCAAAAGGGTATGACTACTTGTTCTTCTGTGCGTATCTCTGTGAACTCCAAAGCCTTCCTCTTCATCGTATGCTGGCAGTGGTGTCTGACTTCATTCTTGGTGGAGCTAAGACAATAACTTCCTTTTCCCCTCAACTGCCATCCATCTAAAGAGAACTTATCTTGGCAACAAGGATGGGATGTTCTTGATATCTAGTGCTCAAGTGTGCTAGACTAGGTATTACCAAACAACAACAAAAACACAGCCCTTTCTCATGCTGCCCTTCTATAATCAAGTTCATATCTGACATCCAGTATCCTGGCCAAGGCAGACCTCATCTGCTAAGTGATCCTTTTGCCTCTGCTCCTGAACAGGCTGTCTGTAACTGCTTGCCGAAGTACACTGGAGATGGGAAGGTCTGCACACTCATCAATGTCTGCTTAACCGTGAGTATGCTCTCAGGCACGTAGCCTCAGAGCCGTCTCCCACCTTCCAGGGAGAACAGACACCAGGTGCTCTTCTCCTGGAACCCAGAGCTGATTCTAGCTAATGAGGCTCCAGTTTTTCTCTTGTGTGCCATTGTCCTATTGGGGAGAACGGAGAGAAGAGACCGCTACCCCACTTCCTGCCCCTTGCCTACAAGATTCTGAAGGAACCCAAGTACACAGAGTTGATCCAGCATTCACCTGATGCAAGTGTCCCAAAGCCAGCTAGATTAGTTTGCCACAATATGGGGGTGCTAAAAGCATTCAGGAGTCAGCTAAAAAGCCTGAGTATCCTACTCAAGATCTAGTTTCCTGGGCTTGAGAGGTGGCTCAATGGTTAAGAGCACTGCCTGCTTTTCCTAGAGGTCCTGAGTTCAATTCTCAGCAACCACATAGTGGCTCACAACCACCTGTACTGGGATCTGATGCCCTCTTCTGGTGTGTGTGAAGACAAAGCACTCATATATATTAAATAAATAAATGTGTGTGTGTGTGTGTGTGTGTGTGTGTGTGTGTGTGTGTGTGTGT